TGAGCGAGTATATTTGTCGCTTTTCAGTCCATGGCGCTGGGTATATCTTAAAAGTTTTGGGAGAATGTTCTATATTTCCAGGCCTCTTGGGGCAATCAATACTATACGCTGCGTGCGAAACGTTACAAAGGACATAATGGACTTCATGTTTTTTTTTAATTTTTATATGGGCATTCGAAAGACTTATGCGATTCAATACAGCGTACACATCGCGGTCCGTTATGACAAGCCTTCTGGGTATGTCCATACCTTTGGCAATTAAAAAATTGCGTTGGTCCGGGCCTACCTTTGAAAGATTTTATAGTAACCTTCACATCACATAAATATTTAACTTTCCATATTTTCTTACCCTCGTCATTACGGGGGGTTTCAACATAAAAAACCGGCAGTTGTGTAGCGATACCATCTCTCATACTAGTGATGGGTTTGACTTTCATTATCGGTATTTTTTTGAGCTTCTAAACTCTTCTTTAATTTCGTCAGCCTGGTAATCCCCGGTGAGTCCTTTTATGTCCAATCTGTTACATTTATCTGAGTTTAACAAAAAGGTGTGATACGGAATTCCCTCCTTTTCTAATTTATCCTGCACCTTTTTATAATCGTCGGCGGAGCTTAGCTTAAGAACCATATTTTCGCCTTCTTTTTTTTTGCATTCAAATTTTTCAATTTTTAAGTTATCTTTTAATTCTTTCCTAAAATCCTTCCAGTTTAATGGTCTTAGTGATAACTAGCGTGGGAATTTTCCCAGCATACTGTCTGGGTTGAATGAAGGCATTTGGGTTAGGGGTAAGCTTATCTTCTTCCAGGACATTGTCCTCTTCCATTCTGTTGCCATCTAAATTTACTTCTTGTAAGGAATTGAATTGATTTGCAGATTTTAGCGGGGGATACGTTTCCTCGTTCGAACTGCTACGTTTCCTACCGCCTTTTGAAACGGGTGCATCCTGCCAACCGTTCTCTGATTTTTCGCTATTGTTAGTATTAGAAAATGCCTGATTTAGAACTTCTACACCATCTTTGCGATATATCATATAATATTTTGCTTCCAATTCGGCTCGCATAGAGCAAAGACATTTTTCCTGTTCCTCGGTAATACCTGTCGATTCCTTTAGTTCTTGAAGTTTATCAACATCTTCTTTTAGTGCATAAAACTGCGCGAATAATGCATAAAGCGATCCGGGTTCTCCTTCCTCCATGCCGAACAGCAACACACATGTTGGCTACTCCGCCGAAGTATCCATGTGAAATATTATTATATAAGTGGTATATAAAGTGAAGAAAGAAATATGTAATAAGCATCTGAACCCAAATGCTATCTTTACGTAAAAGTATGCATGGGAGAAAAATATTTACACCAATTATATATGTAAATAAAAGTCAGCGCTTTTTATTTTATTGCAGTCTATATGAAAAAGATGTTCTATAATGATAGCCAATGCAGAATTTTATTTAAAGTGAGCTTTACTAATTTGCATTCGTATTCATTTAGTTTGTTAAATTTCACACTTATAACTGCTCACTCTTAAATGTACTGTTTACACAAGAAATACTCATCAAACAGAACGAATTTATTCTATTCACAACCAATATATTCAATTTATTTACATGTAACTTTCAATGTTAACAATGGATATAATCAGATCAAACACAATATGTATTCTGAATCTTACACTTTAAAAACTAAATGAATGCAAGAACTGAAATTAAAAAAAAATAGATTTATTGTAACACTTCCAATCCTTCTCAGCTCAATTAAAAAATATAGATATATACGCTTGAAATCCCTTAATCCACAGGTGTTAGTCGATGCATAATATTCGAGGCTAATTGTAGCTTGAGTCATTTTTTCGATGTAAAAAGCGATACTATGCCGTAAACATCAATCCAAATATATTAATGCGTGATAAAAATCGCGAACGTGAAATGTCAGCGATTAATTAAACTCATAAAAACGACAGAACTACGATACTTTCTATTACGCCATACATTTATAACTGCGAAGCAAATGCAAATTAAAATGTAAACTTAACGCACACGCATGCAGGAAGATTTAGCTTCACAAGAGCGATAGAAGCTCATTGCTCTATTTTCGAAACCCCTCCCTCAGTGGCTACGTTGGTGTGCGCTTGTGAAATGTGCGGCCCGTTAGAAATTGAGTCATGTAGCAATTGTGAGTTTTAAGCTTGAAGGTTAAAACTCATGATAGAGGTTGATATCTAGATCTACGAAATCTTCTTCATGATTGGAATACTCAAATGCTGTCCAGTTCGATGTGCATAATATGAATGTTATTCATTCTTAACTTTTGAGTAAAACTTAAATGTTCTTTGGTTATTTTTGGGTGAAACTTAAACGTTCTGCGTACTGTTGTGGCCACAGCCCATCTGATCTTCCACATTCTTTTGAGTATTTCAAAGTTCTTCCTTCCCTCTTCCTTATCATCAACCTCTGGAGAAGGCTTTCGGCTCGCCGTATATTCATATTATGCACATCGAACTGGACAGCATGCCTCACATACAGGTTACACGTACAAACATCCATGCCTTCTCCGGGATTTGAAACCAGGCCCTTCGGTACGGCACTCTAACGACTACCTAGGTTAGGCAGCATCAAAATATTTCTGCAACTAAATAATTATTGTTAAGCGATGAATAACATTCATATTATGCACATTAAATTGGACAGCATTTGAGTATTCCAATCATGAAGAAGATTTCGTAGATCTAGATATCAATCTCTGACCAAACTTGGACATTAATTGCTTTATTAATATAATAGAAATAAATATTGTATTATACTAAGGACGTAGCATAAGAGAAATAACTGCTCACGTTCTTTGCACCTGAGCATCACGACATAATTTTATGCGAAATTATTAAAGAAGAAAATTGGTATTAATCACTTCTAAACCAACCAAGAAAGGGCTTCTGATTACTTCTTAATATTTAATCTGAATATGCCCTGAAACAGAATGTACACTGTACAAATTGAACTTGACATTTTCCTATCTTGAATGCCCGACTTAGGATATAATTAGATTTCTATATAGTAGCATTGTTCAAACATTAAGTATTTTGATGCAACATCGGACTTTCTCTAAATGACCTACCGATTTATTCCCATACTTCCATTCTACAACTCAAATTATGCCAAAGTGCCAAGTTTTGGAAAAATCGAACGGGTAATTTTTTAGAAATTAGTTTTCAAAATTTTAACCCCTCAATGTTAATGAAATTGGGATATATTTATAAAAATCCATTTTTAATTAAATTTACTTTATTCCTTCTTTCGCAGTTCGAAATTTAGGTTCAATCCAAATAAAATTCCCAGTTATATTTTGATTTATTTTATAAATTTGTATTTTTTAGTAATTTTTATAAAGTTTACTAAAACGTTTTGAATTATAACCTATAAAATTTATGTCATCATCTTAAAGTAGACGTATATCTAGGCAAGCATGCAGAAAATTTATAGTTTTTTTTTCACATATTTCCCAAGATATAGGTAAATTATGTACTAGCGCGTTTAGAAATTTGGCTTTTCTGTTATAAGCGGTAATAACGCCGAACGTGGTCAGCGCCTTTGTTAAAATTATTTGAAAGAATGAACGATGCGCAATTTTTTCTGCTCGTGCACAATGAAAGAAATGGGAAGGAGAATTGGTTACCATAAGTTATGAGTTTCGCTCAGAGAACTATTCTCGGAGCTGAAAAACTTAAAAAAGTAAGTTAAATTAAAAAGTTAAATTTTTAAATTTCTCGCTAAATTTATAATTTTTTTTTTCAGAGCGTATATGTTTACTGAAAGATAACCTTATAGACTGTCTTAAATGATTCATTGATTCTCAACTGAACAGTTAATCTATACGATAGCTCGCTACATCAATGATTATTATTAATGGAAATGTGAAATGCAATGCACTTCTTACACACTAAATATAAAAACAACACTAAACATAAAATATTTACATTTGTTGGTGGATTCAAAAGTCATGGTAAATCCAGGCATGTCATTTGAAGGACTTGAAACGAATTTTACAAGTATCTTATTATTTTCAGAGCCATGCTGAGCTGGTGAATCCTACAAGAAAAAAAAATCGAATGAATATTTCCTTAAATACTTTGAAAAAAAAATAAGATATTAGAAATACGAGATAAAAATGATGATAATACAGATAAAAATCAAATGATAAAAATCAAGCATTCTAATCCGCAAACTTCCTGCTACAATCTCACATACTGAAGAATTTATCATTAAAATCTCAAAAAATTAAAAAGATAATTTAAATAAACGAAAAAACATAAAAATCGTAAACTTAGACATTATCAGAAATACTTTAATATACGGGTTTCAGTTTTAAAGCTGAGCAATCTTATTACGCCCAGAGTGCAATATTATTAAGCTATGTTTAAGAAACAGACCCCGATACATGAAAGATGCAGAACATAAAATCCTGTATTAATAATTGTCGGTTTTACCAGCGACCGCCGTATTTGGCAGTGTTTATTGTTAAAAGAAAAGCAAAAGCAAAACCATAACCAAAAGCAAGCAGTAAAAATTATACATTTTTTCCTCTTGTTTCAAAATGATGACAATTTACCGAAAATGAAGCTATTACATTCTTCCAAGGAAAAGCTACTGAACCTGCCACCCAAATTTCTAAAAACGGATTGAGGTTCGTTTGCTTGTTCGCCGTTTATTGTTTTCAATATAAAATGGTTACACGTCTTTCAGTTTTTGAAAACTGAACTTTTAATAAATCTTGTTATAGAAAATAGAGCTCCCAAATTCAGAATTTAGCAAGCGTTAAAAAAGTAGGCATTAACTGCAATTTTTAAATTACATGTTTACAGCTATATGATCATTTTACCCTGAACTGAGAGACAAGTAAAGTAGGATGGCTTTTACAACAATTAACGTGAATATGTAACTAATATTTTATAAAATATAACTTCTAGATGTAGTTATTCTCTTGTATAATATACATGTATTTTCTCAGGTTTTGATTTTTAAAGAAACTAACCTGGTGGCTTTCCTATTGTTAACGAAGGGATATTTTCTTTTCAAAGACGTATTATAGCTCGTTTACGTGAAGAATTGAATCCTTTTTACTTGATATTTTTCATTATTTTCTCTGCTTTTAGCCAGAATTATATTAAATCAAAGTTATAACCGTCATTCTGTCTTCAACCCCAACCAAAATATTTTCAGCTAAGTGCTCGTCAAATACGCAACTTTGGAAGAACTTCCACTTTTGTTTTTCTTAGACCAAGTGCTTCTTTCCACCCATCAATTTTCAACGACTGTAATAGTTTCTAGCTCTAGTAACCCTGGTTCCCCGAGTTCAAGCCGAAGAATGTGATGTACAAGAAAAAGTCACCAAATCTTCTAGAAATGTCCTTATTGTAAATATCCGCTGCATTTCAAGAGCAGTTTTGTAGTTCGCAAATTCTTCTTCACTTGATATTCAAAACGCAGTTTGTTGGAAACTCAGGAAATTTATTTTGATTATTAAGTAATTAAGAATGTTGAAATGCATTTCACTCAGGGCAAAGTGACCAGCTTTTGAATTGTTTTTATCATTTTATATGATCATTATGAGTTCGATGATAGTAGAACTGAATATTTTTCGGTTTACTTACAGATCCACAATATCTAGCAATCCTCTTCCTAAGATCAACAGTGTGACCATCGTAGAGTTCAACATAATTTGAATCGCAACCGTCGGTAGAATTGAGAGCAAAAGCTGTGAAAGTAACTCTTGCGATATAATTGTTAGGTACTGAAATGTACCAAATGCACTCTGCAGTCCTGTTGTAAGGTTCGGGATAGAGCGGACTCGCAAGAGCCCCTTCTTGAGCTTGGAATCGTCCTCCACATCCTCTTCCTGAAACGAAATTACAATGATAATTATACATAAAAACACCAAACGATTCTCAATTAGGTACAGAATACATAGCTTTGGAAATACATCTTTTATTAACTACAATAAAGAAGATATTAAAAAAATTATTCGTAGGATATATTAAAATTTATATATCTTTAAAATTATAGCATTTAATTAGATTATTAAAAATATTAAACCGAAGTTGAATTTAATGGCGTTAGTTCACAGTCGCTTGTGGTCAAGAAGTAAATCACCCGTGAGAATCACTGCACTAAATTTAGTGCTACGTAAATTGGTTACCTGTGACAATCAGTAACCATTTTGGTAAACTGGAAATTGGTAACCATATTGGTTACCTGTGACATACAAGTTCAAAATTTTTGGAGGACAACTCATTGGTAACTAGTGCAAGGCGGTGGGGAAAATTTAGATAACATTTTAACTTACTATTAAAATAAAACGTACCAGTTCTCGTCAAGGGATTTGGTCACTAGTGATTTACAGGTTGATATTAATTTATTACCTGTCCATAGATTTGGATCATTTGTAAATTAAAACTAAATCCAATGACCCTAGTGTCCGTTAATGCTGTTGGTGACCAGTTACTTAAAAGCTGCAACCATGGTGCATCAATATGCTACAGTGCTCAGACAGATTTTAAAAATAAATTTTAAATCGAAAGACACTGGTATCCTTTAAGGTTGCTGGTATATACTCCGGCTGCTGGGAGGTCACTTTAGAGGCACTAGTCGATCAAATGTGTGGTGCAACGCAGTAAATTTAGATGGATATTAAAATTAAATCGAAGCACACCGGTGCCTATCACGACTTTTTGACACAGTGACTTCAAAATTCATGGTCACTATATGTGAATCCGGTAAGTCACCGGACAGTGGAGTACATTTAGATAAATTTTCGAATAAAGCTATATTGATACATTATAGTTCGTGCCCAACAGCTGTAAAGCTTAGATAATAGATATTGTTTGGCATGAGGACACAGTTCACATCAATAAATACTTTCCCCAGACATACTCAGCACAGTACATGGTGCATTAATATGTGTCCCTCAAAGCATCACATATTCCACATTCAGTATGTAGACTGCGTTTAAAGTGTACATTACGCAGGGCGGTGTCCGCCGATAACATCGCGGACGAAAACGTCGCAGAGAAAACAACGCAAGGCGAAAACGTCGTGCTACAAAACATCGTGGGAGAAAACATCGCAAAGAGAAAACATCACAGTTCTAAAACATCGTGGTACAAAACATCGTCGTCGAAAATAAGCGGTTCCAAAACTCGCAGTTTAAAAAATCGCGTCGAAATATCGTGGTAAATAAGTATATACAAATCATCGCATGACGATAACATCGTAGACATCCTTTTTTTCCAGTCCTAATAACTCTGTAAATAGATTTATAATTTCCCTATAAGATTAATTTGTTAACTTAGCAATATTTAGAATTTAGAAAGATAATTTGTTTTTCATTTTATATTAACTACTAAATTTTTGCTGAGAAATAAGAAGGAACTAGCTAGAAAATTAATGCAACTTATAGCACTTAATAGAATTTTAAACCCATAATTTTACTAACAAAGACCATTAATAAATAATTTTTTATAACTTTTACTTGTAATTTTTTCATAAAAATATAATCTATAAGTTTGCATTTAATTTTCTATCTTAAGTTTCCTCTTATATTTTCCGCAAAAATAGTTAATAAAAAAATTGAAAGTAAAAATTATCCTTCTTTCCATCTTGCGCTCACAAATTATTATGGGATATCTACTTACAGTTTTAAAGCCTTAAAAAAGCATGTCTGCGATGTTTCGCACGCGATGATTTGTAGATACATTATGTTTACCACGAAATTTTCGACAACATGTTTTCAAATAACGATTTTTTAAACGCTTATTTTCGACGACGAGTTTTGTACCACGATGTTTTAGAACTGCGATGTCTCTGCGATGTTTTCTCCTACGATGTTTTGTAGCACGACGTTTTCTCCTTGCGTTGTTTTCTCTGCGACGTTTTCGGCTGTAACCCGCAGGGCGAAACAATTTACAATTACAAATCCCCCAGCATAAAGACACTCAGATATTTTCAACATAACTATGCGAAAAGACCTTTCTAAATACAGGGTGTAAAATTTTGGTTTCATTTCCTCTTGTTATAAGACTTTTATCACACTTTTCCCGGGGCCCCTATCGAGTGAGAACAGCTTAAGTATGCTATGTATTATATATTACAATGTAACATAATATAAAAGAAGCATTGATACTATGCTATATATACAAGACACTTTAACATTATTTCTTAGGTTTGAATATTACACTTAAAACAGATACATTTTACCAGTGTGTTTATATTCTCTACTTCGAATTTCAGATTAATAGATCAGAAATTTTAAATACTTTTAATCTAATTAACTGTAAGTAATTAATTAAAATTTTAATTAATAATTTAATTTTTAAAAATTAAATCAATATTAATTAATTAATTTAATTTAATAAATTAAAATTAAATTTCAGAAATTGATAGGCTTAAAGTAAAAATAAACTTTATTTAAATTGCATTTAATTTTCATATTACATTTTAAGGTCTTGTAATAACGTCTAGCAACCTCTAGTTAAGTCTAGAGAGCCTCTAGTTTGAGGCTATCGTAATTAAATTATATTGGCAAATACTAAAACAGTAAATATTTAATATATAGAAAGAAAAAGAAAATCTTACTTATTAAGAAGTGTTTGTGCAATTTTACAAAGCAAAAGAAGTGTTAGTAATTGCCAAAATCAAAATGATGATTCAGACATAAACTCGTTTTGTGGATGTGTGCACGCATTTATAAATTATACGTATTTTAAGATGAAAGTATCAGCAATTATCATAGAAATTAAATTCAAACATAATATACTGAAAATTGAATACAACCAACGTGGTGTGTTTCAATAACTCCTTGGCACATTTTACGCGTGTAGGGTAACGTTGCGTAAGTTGTCATCCCTAAGCAAAATAGGTACAAATCGTAGAATCTATGAAAATGATAAAAATTATGTATGGTGATAATATCTTGTCTTGTCATTACTGATATTTATTACAAAACAATTCCACAGAGGATAAAATTAATAAAATTTATGAATACGACTTAGGCAGCCAGTATTCGAAGTCCTACCAACTCTAGCTGAAGTGTACTAGGTTTGAAATTGGACAATTATAAGAAAACATTCTTTTTCTCAGTTAATGTATTTGTAAAATTAGTTATAACAATGATCACAAGGAAATCTTTTAACTTTATTGTCAACTCCAGCAATCGTATACCCATCCTCTGTATTTTAAACACTGAATCATATTCACTTCGATGTCTTCCCTCACGGATATTACAGAGAGAGATGAACACGATGTAAAACGATATGGTTGACTATGGGGTAACTCGTTTTGCCGGAAGAGGCAAAACTGTCGTGATATTACGCATGATATTTCAAAGGTACCACTCAGCCTTACCCTCAGTGAAATAGTGTAGCTAAATGCCTTGGAACCTTGGATCACGAAAGCTTTGATTCACGATTAGATCGGTTCATTAGATCATAATTAGATCGGTTCATAATTAGAATGAATTATTTAAACAAAAGGCGTTTCGGGTAATGAACGATCTCGAAGACCGAAGTGGTACAAACATTCAAGAATACAGTTAAATGAATATCAAATGTGTTTTGAGATAATCCATGACACACAGTTAATATTCGAGAATCTTCACCTAAGAGTCAGAAAACTTCTAGAAGCATCACTCTAATATTTTCTCTCGTTTAACTGGCTCTAGTGTAGAATTGCGTGCCCCTTCGATTAGTGACAATTTTTTTGTAAAATTTTGGCGAGGAAATCTCATTTCTGGTTACCATGATAGTTTACCTTTGCTTTAGCCTCCTGTTTTTTTTAAATAAAAATAGATTGATGTGTACATGGAAAAATTTAAAGCAGTGCGCAATGCCTAGTTTGTGCAATTCTATGATTTTTTTTAAGTGAAAACAGATCGATGTGTACATGGACACAGAGTTTGTGCAATTCTTTGACTTCTTATTTTGGTTTTGTGTAGCGGCCATCTTGAAATTGTGTCTTCCGGCGCCGATCTTGGCGTCAAAAAAGAATCGTCAACAAACAAGGGGCACCTAATTGTAAACTTTTACCGTTTAACTATCATTAACAATGATTGACAGCAAGTGATGTGAAGGACCCTGAATACGACCTGGAAAATGCTATATCTCGATTGTTGTAGTATGCAGAAATTTCGAGAATTTTGATGGATTTGATAATACTGAAGATTTTTTTTTTATCCCCTACAATATTGTATTTCTAGGTATAACAATGAACACGTGGAGGAGTTACTGGTGGAACTTGAAAAGAATTCATCAGGAAGGAGCTAAAGGTACTTAAGGAACAGCTACAAATGGCGACATCAGACGATATAACTTCGGAGAAATGAAAATAAAGAGCAGATGAGCTTAATTCTTCTATCCGTGAAACTTGTGCACAATGTTTATAACCTGATAAGTTTCATGTACTGATAAGACCCTGATAAAGCAACAACAAGCTACACCAAATCATTTTCAGTTGTAATATCATGTCTTATTTTAAAACATAAACAAAAACAAGTCCCATTAGCCAGATTTTGAGAGAAAGGAAAGGTGAGTCTCGGATAGAGACTAGTGGTGCTAAGAGACAAGGAAAAAAATAAAAGAAGATGCTCCAGAAGGACAGCTATCTGATAATTTTACGAAAGAGTACTTCTGATGCAAAATCTTTTCTTTTCTTTTCCTCATCACCTCTACTTATTTACTCTCCTTCGTAAGAGTAAATTCAAATTAAATTAAATTTCAATATATTTTATCTGTTGAATATTACGTTTATTCATTTTACCTTGGTTTTAATGATTTCCGCTGACTTTTGATCCAAATACATAAAGTACTGCTACAAATTTTAAATAAACGATAAGCAAAAGAGAAAATAAATAACAAAAACAAATAAAATAAACAAGAGTAGAAAAAAAAAAAAAAAAAAAAACGAAAAGTTTCAGGTTTTAAAGGTCACCCAATAAATTTTGTTATGGTGTTTTACGCTCTTGCTGAGCTCGCAGTCTACCAGCCTGCTGTTGCACTCCTACTAATCCCCTTTTTGTTGTCTTTTTAGCTTTATTATTGGACATAATTTTCTTCGCACTTACACCATATAGAGGTTAACAGCGAAATTCCAGAAATTTTAACAGCAGCATAGTAGTGTACGTTTAGAATTCCTGATGCCGTGTTACGTGCTGCCGTACATTTTTCTGTTTTTCTCAGTTCATCATATCAATATTCATTTTTCTACTAAGTTGGCTTTACAATTAACGTTTATTATTAACGTTATTATTAACGTTTATTATTAACGTTTATTTTTATTATTAACGTTCTGTGTGTTTACTTTATTAAATATCACGTTCTTGGCCCTCACGCCACATAAAATTCGATTCAACACCAAAATCACAAACTATTTAACAGCAGCATATCCTTGGAATATCCGTTAGAAAGTCTCGCGCGCTATATTTGCAGTATAAAATGGTTTTTTTCCGTCCTGTGTTGCCACTGGTCTGTTTGAAATCGTTGAGCTTATTAAGTTCGTTAAGGATAGTAAAGCAAATTCGAAATACAAAATTTCGGGCTTCTAGGTGTCCATATTCGGCTGGAGGACTACGATATGTTAAGTTTGATAGCTCTAGGTACTGTCATTTTATTACAATGCAAGAAACGTGCATACATTCATTCTTCATTATTTAATTTCGTTAAATATAATATGGGGCAATAAAATTTGTTTGCAACAATTTGAAAAGCGATGTGGCGTTTATAGTGATTCAACGCAAAATGCTGTTTTTTTCGGGACTAACGTCTCTTTTGGGCTAATAATCTGTGGCCTGGGAAAGAATAAATCCACTTTTATTAGTTCATATTTGAAAAATGGCTTCAGTTTCATTTCGGATGACGAATTGAATTCAACGATTAAAAGCAATTTCAAGAACGAATTTACGAATTGAATTCTTTCTTGAAATCGAGTTAACTATAAGCGTTGGTTTCATTGCACAGCTTGTAATTTGATGAAGAAAATGAATTTTTATTCATCGCAACGTGAATATTTAATACAGAGTGGCAGCACTCACCCTTATCCGTTGTAGTGTAAGTAGCGTAAAAACGCCCATTTTCATCCAGGACTGTAAACACTACATGAAGGAAGCTTCCTGTTGAAAATACGGGAGTGGGCACCTCATCACCGCAAAAAGTATCCAAAAGACGGGCTGAAGTATTAGGACCATCGTAAACCTGAAAGTGAAAAACAGTATAAAACTATTTTAACTAATTTTAAATGGATAAATTATGAATTAAACACCTTTATCTTTCGAAATTCTATTCTGCACCTTCGCTAGAAAGGAAAGTTAAATTTGCCTTGAATGGAACGAGGAAAAAAATCTGGTACTAATGCATTTTTAAAGACCAATTGCTTTCATTTTTTTTCGTCAAGTAAAAAAAAAATTGATTAAATGAAAATGTAATGCTAATAGTTACTTTAAAATAAATTATTATTCAAGTAATAGTTACATATTTTGAAGAACTGACACGATTTTTACATTTAGAAATATACATTTAGAACATATTTACATTTAGAAATTTTACCCAGAGATTTGTGAGATCACAATTCACTTTTAAGATTTTATGCGAGTGACTTAACTACTTTTTATTAATTATAAAATCTAAATTTTTGAAAGAGCTCTGTACAGAATTATCAAGAAAATCTCAAACGATGAATATGCAAAACTAGTATACAATTTGCTTCTGTCAAGAAGGAAGTTATTTCTCAATAATTTTTCTGTATTAAGTTCAAAAATTACAGTGAAAGGTTTAAGCCTGCATAAGTCTTAGGTAAATAATTTTCCTTCTTACAAAATGTAATATATATTCATGTTCATTATGTTACTATCTTCAATGTAAGAACCGTCAAAATATTTTTCTAAGCATGAAGAGTATGTAACGTAGGCGTTAAATTACAATAAATACAATGCAAACTTGATACTATTTACATACGAGGGCATTTCGAAAAGTAAAGATACACCGTACGCCAGAGGAAAAAAAAGTTTTGGTGAGCGAGTTGGCAACACAGGTGTTAACCTTGAACCGTTAACTTTCTCCTCGCGGTCGTTCGGCATTTCAACGTTGATTCTGGTTGGAGTAGGTCGTGTTTAAAATGGCTGCGCTGATTCAGAATCCCCCCCCCAAATGTGAAGTGCGTTTCGTCATACGTTTTCCTCATGCAAAAGGTCAGCGACCAGCGGATATTCACAAAGAAATTGTTTCTGTTTATGGAACATCATGAATCGACAAAATGTAACGAAATGGTGTCGTCATTTCTCTGAAGGTAGGACCGATGTTCATGACGAACAAAGAACAGGTCGGCCATCTGTGATCTCTGATGCCCTTCTTCAGAGAACAGAGGAAGCAATTCGTGCGAATAAACGTCTCAAATTGAAAGAATTGCATCAGATCATACCGAAAGTGTCAATGACAAGTCTTTATGAAGTTGTCACTGTCAAGTTAGTGTATAGGAAACTGTGTGCGCGCTGGGTTCCAACAGGCGGCAACCTTCTATGACTGTGGGATACAAAAGCTTGTGCACCGACTTAACAAATGTTTGGATAACAGGGGGGATTATGTCGAAAAATAATAAATAATCCAGTTAATAAGATGCAACTGACGTTTCTAAATAAATGTTTCTTTAAGGAATGCGAGCCATTGTATCTTTACTTTTCGAAATGTCCTCGTATATTAGCCAATATTCGTTACGACCCATAAAATGAATCCATAGATGTTTCACTCATGAAGAAAGGCTGTGAGTAAGAAAAATCCTGGCAGAAGCCGTCAGAATGTTTATCACTTACAAATCCTTTTGCTTCTCATATTACTGACAAGTGACGAGGAAAACGTCAGCAGGTGAATGCAGAAAATGCATTTAAGATGAACATCATGCAATACATTTCTTTACAACACAATATCATATTTTCTACAACTGTAAGGTATTTCTTCCGCCTTCTTACCATGCCTTCGTGGTGCAGTGGTCTGCATAATGTTCGCGTATTCCAGAGATCCGTGGCTCGATTCCCGGCGAAGGCGTTGCTAATTTTTCATCTTTTCTGTTTCCAAAAAATACCTAATGTCTCTACATGTGGCGCCCGAAATAAAAATGTGGTAGATGATGACTCTCCACATCCAATATTTGGCGATTGGGTCTTCTAAATCCCAGTCGCCCTTTAAAAGGGAAGAGTATATAAGGTATTTCTCCCGCCTTCTTAGCGTGATTTCGTGGTGTAGTGGTCTGCATGCTGGGCGCGTATTCCAGAGGTCTGCGATTCAATTCCCGGCGAAGGCGTTGCCAATTTTTCATCTTTCCTGCTTCCAAAAAATACATAATGTCTCTACACACCTATTTAGTAATTTTCAGCACTGCAACTTCCACTTATTGCCAATTACTTTCAAATAAATTATTTAACACTATCCTGAAAGTATAAAATGGTTTCTTTTTCTCACCAGATAATGCACACTAAAAGTGTGTTTTCTCGAAAGGCTGGAAAATCTATGGACTCACAAAACTCTTATATACCAATTTCGTAGTATCATGTAAGATCTCTTTTTAAGACATGGTTTTATAACATGTTTTTTAAAAAAATCTTTCACACTTAATTTTTTTTTTTTGTGTTAGACAGCTAAACTAGGTAGGGAAAAGGGACAATTCAATGAGACTCTAATTCGTTGACTAATTCATTAAGTTTTACCCTTCTAAGTCTCAGTGAATTAGTCAGAACGAAACTTGTTTTAGCTATCTAGTTAATCAACTAGCTTCAAAACACTATTGTATATAGGTATGGAGCTTCAAAACAGTTTTCCCTTGAAAAGTTCTGTTGTGAAGCTCCAAACAAGGAAGATTAGCCCATGTATTTGCGATTTCTTAATTTTTATACTTAACGCATTCGGCTCACTATTTGTTTTTAGTATATTTGTTTTTTAACTTGCTGTTATAATGTATTACAAAACACTTAGTGGAATTCATGTCTTCTTACTGATAGGTTGGATACTCGTCTTGACTTTAATAATTCGTACTACATAAAGATACTCATAATAAAAGAAGAATTACATAAACCAACTTATAATAAAAAACGGCAAAGTATGAGTTAGTTTTAACAGTTTTCAAATGTTTCCTGAAAAAAGTGCATGAGTACCTGTGAAACCGGGAATGGAATAGGTACACTCTACACATGGGAGGAGAAGCGTAAAAGATTTCAAATTTTATATTACTCCCAAAGGGGCGTTTCTTTTCATTTACATCCATACACGGATACACGGTTCGAGAGCATTTGGGATAATATCCATTTAGGCTAAAAATATATCAAAGCTGCATATCTTTAGTATTTCCGATAGGCACTCTGGCACATTTTTACACATTTTTAGTTTGCACATTTTTAGACGATTTTGCTTTGCTATAAAACAAATTGCCTCCTTGGAAAATTTCATTTTAACTACAAATATATTTTTGAAAGTGTAAATTATCGTCTGGTGCTTGACAATTTTGTTTTCATGCAAAATGGTGCTTTTAAAGGAGCAATGGACGAAAGGCATGTTTAGGCTCTTTGCGAAGAAACATATTCTCATCTGGTTATTAAAGGCTTTAAAACCCGTGATGTTTCGGTACTTAAAGAAACGATAAATAATATTTTCAATAAGAAAGGAAAAAAGCGTCAAAGTTTGGCTTCAAGGAGAAAAATTGTTCAAAATATATATCCAAGGAAAAAACGGAATGTTTCGAATGTGGCAAAGGTAAGAATTTGATCTTAAAAAAATCTGCGAAGTCAAAGGACAGTTGCATAACCATTAAAATGCTCACTATCAGTTGTAAGCAAAGTGATTAAGGTTGATTTGAATCCTAGAAAGGCAAAAACTCAATGTGCATCGTCTTTCTCGATTACATATCCCCGAAAGCAGAGCGCTCTGCAGAATTCTCTGTGAGAAATAATTATTCCGACGAAAATGGAAAAATATTGTCACAATAGATAAATTATGATAGGGTTTCTTAAACCGTGGGTTGCGATCCCCAAGGAGGTCGCGAGACCTGCAGCAGGGGATGGCCAAAACGTTTAGCAGTTTTGATATTTATTTAACTTATTATAATAGGTTTAGAATTAGCAAACATTTAGAAATAAGACAATACAATACAGACAAAGGAAAAAACGAAAACGTTTCGACGCATTCTTTTTATAATATAAACTCTCATTTCCCTTGCTTTGCACGTGACGCTGTCATTTCGTCTGTTACTTATTTAAATTTTCACATTGTTCTATTATCAGGACTTGTATGTCTTTTGATTTGTTTCGAGAATATGAGGTGTCCTGAATAGGAACAGGGAGCTTACTCAAGCTATGTTCAAATATGTGTGGAATGGAGGACACAAGCAGGAAAGGTTAACTTTACCTTTTATTTTCCACGATATTACAGGTGTTCCCGCACTTCGGGATACAGAGACCAACCACTTGTGGTCTGAACTTAAAAATGTAAAAACTACTAACTAACTAAAGATTAAAATTAACTGCGAGTGCTTTACACAATTGAGGACAGCAGCTGATTGGAAACTCCGCTGTAATACAGACAAAGTGGCTCACTTTCTCCTTAGCTAACTCTGCTCTTGGCGAAAAGCCACAACTTAAATACTTGGGCGTTAGCAAGTACAATTTGCATAAAACATATTCGCGTGTTTATTCTGGCCGGAAGTGGAAAATAAGGCATGGCAGTAAATTTTTAAAATAAAATAAACGTTAGTGAAACTTAAGATCCTTACACTATGTCTTAAAATTAGAAATTAAAGTTAATGACCTAAAAATGCAATAGTAAATTACAGAGCAAGTGAAAAAAGTTACAGCTTCACTCACGCGTGTGTCGGATTTGCGCAATACTTATGGGGTTCTGCAAAAGTTTGGAATATTTATGGGGTTCCGCAAAAGTTTGCAATACTTATGGGGTTCCGCAAAAGTTTGAAATACTTATGGGGTCCTGGGGGTCACGAAAAAATCTCAGTGATAAAAAGGGGTCGCGATTGAAAAAAGTTTAAGAATCCCTGTATTATGGTATAGTTAAATGGCCACCATAAAAGAAATCCATTTATTATCACCAACGAGAAGAAAAATCTTACAAAATGGTTCAAAGTATCTAAAGAATGGTTTTCAAAGGAATTTATGATTGGTGCTGGTTTTTAATATAACAACAAATAAAAATTGAACGGAGTGGAGAAAAACTGTTTAGGTCAGCTCCACATATTATCAGGAACATATTATTTACCCAGTTTTCAAATACGAAATTTCTTCTCTTTAATCACAGTGCCATCAATCAAAAATTGCATCAAGACAAAATCCACTGTTAATTTCCTGGACGAAACTGGAACATGAAACGTGTATCAGTCATACCCTTCACTTATATCCCTACTAAATCTCCTGATGTTATATCCCTACTAAATCTCCTAATGTTTCATTTATATCCCTACTAAATCTCCTGATGTATCACTTATATCCCTACTAAATCTCCTGATATATCACTTATATCCCTACTAAATCTCCTGAGGTATAACCCATAGATTTTTGCTTTTTTGGACTTTTAAAAAGTGAATTGTCCAAACGTCGATGTACCAGCCCACTTTTGACTTTGAAAAGCTATTCAGGAGGAATGGGATAAAATACAGCTTTTAATACTAAAAAAAGCTTTATTGCCTTTGAAATTACGTCATAGAAAGATAGCGAAGAATAAAGGTTATCAAATAGAACATTTAAAAGACAAATAGTTTAGGTAAAATATTTCTGTAAATACAAGGAAAATCACCTAAAATTTCGCGAACAGCCTCTGTATTATTCACATGCAAATGTATTTCTTACCTTCACATTATTTCTGGAGCAGTTTTCCGATGCAGATATAGAAAGAGTTTTAAAATAGAGCGAAATGGTTTTCCCTGCAATAGCATTGATGGTCATTACGCAGATCTTGTCCACAAACAATGAGGGATAATCCGGATTGGACAAAATACCATTATCGTTTACAAAAGTTCTGTTGCAATCTAAAAATGCAAATGGAATATTTTATAATTATTGATATGTAATTTCGTACATATAATTATTCAAAACAAAAAAGCTTATATTTTTTGTAATCGATTATTGTATTATATTTATATGTAATTAAGGCAAATATATGTTGTTGTGACTTATCTCAGTTGTCTGACAGTAACATCAGAACAAACTCACGAAATTCATCTTGGCAAGGAATGCGAGATTGCGCCTGTCTTTGGCATCAAGACAAACATTCAAGAGGCTGCTTACTAGTTTTTGCAATGAAACAGTTACATGCTTGCGATACCAATTTTGCCCATGGCCATGTTTTGGTTGCCTCTGTCTGCTTATACACGAAGAGAAAACTTCATGCATGTAGTCTTAATTGAAGCTTCAGCATTACAGTAACATCTAAGATGGAACCTCTGTTACTGTAAAATACAGGTTTCAACTGAAATTAGAACTGAGCATTCACCGATGTTGCTGTTACGCACTTCAGAACTTCTCGGAGATTTTTCGTAAGTAAATAAAATTTGATAGAATTCTTTCTGAACTTAAGATTTGGGTATAATTCTGATTGGATGTGACTGTTACAATTTTAATTTATTCTAAGTAGCTATTAAACAATATACGATATGTCAGACTTTAATTATTATTTGATTACCAAGTAATTTACATCTAGATGTTTTACGTTGAGAATATTATACACTGAATACCAACCCTAATTGCAGCAAGTAATCCCATTTCAGTTCTATAACTTTTCCCGGTCTGAGACAAATCATTTTTAACAAATATCCAGTATTGAGGCTTAGTTGTACCTTGCTATATCTTTAAGGTTATGAAAGATGATAAACTTTGTATTTCCTTCTTCTTTTCTGCATGCCTTTGTGGTACAACTGAAAGCACGCTCGACGCGTACACCGGAGGTCCAGACTTCGAATCCAGGAGAGGGCATTGAATATAATTCAGATCCAGACTTCCCACTCTGATAAAGAAAGGCAATTAAGTATACGTTAAATTGCCTTTCTTACTCCATTCTTTACCAGAGTGGGAGATGGGTTAGGATTACTACCATTAGAGTAAATGGAACTCTGAAAAGTATGCTGAAGCATGGTGATTCCAATGCTGAGGAAATTCTCGTAAAGAAAAGTAAAAGAATATTTCAACCGTTCTAAGAAATATAATATTTGGATGTCGAATAGGTTGGTTTCCCAGTTGTAGGATATAATAGATTCTGATTTCCAAATTTTTTAGGGAAAATTTTCTCTTGTTTCCTTTCCCCTTGGAGCCCTACAAGAATATGTTTTATTGCTTAACAATTAGTCTAGACGTGACAAAAATCTAGACTTTTTTAATCTAAGATAAATTTCTAAAATACATCGAATCTCATTAGGATTTCGACAACCAAATATTTATCTCCGCAGCATGAGTCTGCGAGCTGTAAATTATGACTAACCATGAATTCTGATACTTGTTTATCTGCAGGGGAAATTATGGCTCTAGTAATGTTTGGGATAATGAAAGCTTCGATTTTAATTGAATACTGCGTATTATTTCTGGTTTTGATTTCAAATTCTACGACTGGATATTTCTTCTCTGCAGCGCATTGCATTCCGAAGTAATAAACAGAGAGTAATTCATAGCGAATAGGTTTTAACTTAAATATATTTGCTAAATGTTCGTTGCAAAATCTTCTTTGGCTTCCATTATCGAGTAGAAGCTTAGCCATTTTAACATTAAATACCGAATTTGCAACAACTGCACGTGTTTGTAAATAAACATTTTTGGAACATGTCATACTTGAATTGCACAGCGAAACTGAACTGACAGTTTCACAATTAGAATTGTTTAACACTTGAGTATCTTTAGCATTACAATTTAAATTCAATGATTCTTTATATTTGTCCTCAGTATTAATCGTTTGATTCTTTGTTGCAGTATTATTATTTCGTTTACTACCCAGAGAAATGGAGCTATGATGACTTTCGCTTTCGCACTTGAAACAAGGAAGTTTATTAGAACGATAGGTTTTACTAATGTGATATATTTTGAAATATTTGAAACAACGTTTAGTATTCTTTAAAATTTCTAATTTATTTTGTGGTGACATTTTACATTTAAATGTTTGTTGCAGTGTTAATTTGTTGCAGTATTATTATTTCGTTTATTACCCAGACAAATGGAGCTATGATGACTTTCACTTTCGCACTTGAAACAAGGAAGTTTATTAGAATTATAGTTTTTACTAATGTGATATATTTTGAAATATTTGAAACAACGTTTAGTATTCTTTAAAATTTCTAATTTATTTTGTGGTAACATTTTACATTTAAATGAATCATGTAGTGCAGAACAGAAAATGCATATAGACTGCGTCATATTGAATGCTATTGCTGACGATGTACTTTTAGGAATTCTTTTCACTAAAGTGTTTTGGTTTTGAAGCTTTGCATTCGGGTCACCAGTGTTTCCTAATGATGTTTGAAATTTTGTTTCGTGTTCAGTTGGATATTTGTTGCGTGTGAAAAATAAGGATATTTTATTTGGTTTCTTTGTTTTTTAGAATATTAATTGTTTTCGACACCTTCCAATCTTTTTCTTTTCCAAACGTTTTAGTGATCTGTAAAACAATACCTTGCGGTATTATTTTAATCAATATGAGACATAATAGAGAACCATAAGTTCCTGAATTTATCCCTAAGGCTTCCACACTATGAACTTCTGTTTGTCAAGTATCTAATATTTCTCTAAGCAGGAAAACGTCTGTTTATTTCCTCACGATGTTAGATTCAACAGTTTATTCAAGTGAGAATTAATGACCAAAGTGTTTTTCCCAAACTTTAAGGTTCCTATCTATTGCTGCTTCGTAATTTTTATTTGTCAGTGTAATTACTTTAATTGCATTTGCGGCTACTCCAGTTAAATATGAATGTAAGTAATTAAATTTGTCTCCGTTAGATAAATCTTTATTTCTGTGTATCAGGGATTCAAACTGATCCCAGAATCTGTGTGAATCGGCAGGATCACCATAGAATTTTCTACTGTTAATGACGGTAATTTAACGAATTATTTTTCTAATTTTAACGAGCTAATAGGTTGTTGTTGTGTTCTTTGTATACCTGGTTTACATTTAGCGATAGCAGCTTTCAACTTCCATGAGCAATTAATGAATTTTCATGATACTCATCACATTTAATCACTTCGATTTCGATTTCTTTAACATCCGTAATTTGAATTTTAATTTCAAACTTGACTTCAAATTTCTTTTAACTGTTTAAATTTCAGATTTATCTGTTCTTAAAGTTCTTCCAACTCTTCCTCTCCAGTTTCATTTTCTAAAATTTTAGTTTCGATTTTAGAAATTAATCTTGTTATAAGAGATTTAAAAGTAGTTTTTTCGCCTTTGCTGTTTCCATTTCGGTATCACTTTTTAACAATTCTTTAAAATTAACCTTATATTTTCATTTAACTAAATTTCTCTTCTGATTTTAATTATATAAAGAATAGGAATTAGAAGTCATTTGCAATATAAGAGTTGTTCAGCCACCAGTTCAGTCAAAACGGAAGTAATCTGCAATATAAGATTCATTTCTTAATAAAAGGAGAATATTAAATCTTACCTTGAATTATTTCGCAGATTATATTTATTTTAAAGGTATCCAAAGGTACCAGCATTTATTTAATCCAAAGTTAGCAACACTTACATTACCATAATAAGCCGAAACAGTAACTTCCTGGCTTGATCACCAATTAAAAAAGATAAATATATTTTGACTTCATGAGAAAAAGCTGGTCATACGCAGTACTAACAGAAGTCAATACTTCAACGCATTTTACAAAAAATAATCTTTTTATTTACAAAAACAAACTCACAAAGTCAAAGCGTAAAGGAAAAATATAAATAAAGGGAAAAAATTTGAAAGGTTTCAGATTTGAACGATTGCCCCCAAAACATTTGTTAAGTTTTTCACGCTGTCGTTGAGCTTGCAGTACTGTTGCTGCGCTTTGAAATTGCTGAGTTTGTTAAACAAAAATTCGTGAAAGTTTTACAAAATATGAAATAGATAATAAAATAAATTCGAAATTCAAAATTTCGAGCTTTCAGGTCCGAATTTTCGGGTGTAGGACTACGTTATTCAAAATTTTATGGCTCTATTTACCGTGGAGTTTTCACGATGCGAGAAACATACATCCATTTATGCAGATTCTTCATTTCTTTTTGTTTCTTTAAGTATCATGCAGGACTCTAATATTTGGTGTCTAAAGTTTAAAAAGTTAAACGCAAAATTCCATTTCGAGAGTAATATTCCGTTCGGGAATAACATCACTTTTGGGATAATAAGATAGATTCATTGAAATATTATTCTAAGCAAATATTGTAAGAAATGGGAAAATGTCAAAAAATGTTCAGTTCTGAAGAAAAAGGTGAGAGTAAAAGGTATTGCAGCAGGGTATAACATTTTCACTTACCTGCATTTTTATACGAGAATGAAAAGCCACGAGCTCCGTTACTTGCTGCATCACTGTGAAAAATGACAACAGATCCACTACGCATAGTAATATCATGACGGAGATATTCAGAACCACACAGCCGGATGCTAGACATGCTTTGATTCTGAAAAAAATTAATAAGTAAATTAATAAAATTCAGTCTTCTGAAGTAAAAATATTCAGACTGGAAACAAGAAAGCCAGAAATTCATTAGACTTCATTTCTGAGGTATTAAAAATAACGTTCTCCTATCACTATTCAACTGTTCAAATATTTTAAAATAATTCTAGAGATATTATCTAGAGTTATTATTATTCTAGAGCCATTATTAGAGTAAAAATATCTACTAATTGCTTCTTGAAAATGTCGCGAAATTCGCGATTGATGCTCTTTGTTAACAATTCTTTAAGCTTGGCGACATTCACAATGCACGATACCATGATAACAGAAGAAAATTACCAATATTTCTTCAAATTTTGACCGATTTTTGATGTAACCAGTTTTACTTTATCTTTTGAGTACTATCCAGTTGATTGTCGTGCCAATTATACATGAAAAGCGTAAACTGGTATTTATGATTAATAAAGAGTTTTAAGAAGGACTAGCCTTGGTAGGGATTCTTGAGCTACTTGCACAAAACACACAGCGGGACCTTATTACCTTCTGAAGGCAAGTATTACAGAAAATGCATCACAGCATGAATTGAACTACTTGGACAAAAAAAAATTTGTTTCTGGAAAAAATTCAATAATTTTGAAACAATGAGAGAAGTGATGCGTCATAAGCTCAAATATTCTTTCCGGATTGCTTGATAGGATCTATCTTAGCCCACCAGCGGCCGAGCGGTAAAGACGCTGAACACTGGTAGTTCGGTCCGAGGTTCGAATCCCGCGAACGGGCTGGCTGCATGGGCGTTTTCGTGGTTTTCCCATGTGTAACGTGTATACGAGCCAGTTTCCCTTAGAAAGTCCTCCACGAAAGGCATCCCTCCTCTTAGGCAGATAGCCCTAGTGTGCTTTGCCATAATTAAATACACACACCAGGATCTATCTTCAGTAATATCCCATATTACTGAACTATCGCTAAGCACCAAATATGAATTATTAGACACGCAACTGATTAATTGAAACGCAGCTACCGAAGCTGCCAAAGCTTGGTAGCATTGGCGTACCAAAATTGATTCAACTTCGACTCACCCGCTCACTCCCGGAAAGCTCTTGTTGCATTATTTTGATGGTATCCGCCGAAAACATCGCGCCAAAAACAACGTGGGCGAAAACGTCGCGAAGAAAACAACGCAAGGCGAAAACGTCGTGGAGGAAAATAAAGCAAAGAGAAAACATCACATCGTGGTACAAAATATCGTCGTCGAAAATAAAGCTGTTCAAAAACCTCGCAGTTTAAAAACATCGCCGTCTAAAATATCGTGGTAAAAAATAACGTATATACAAATCATCGCATGAGGATAACATTGCAGATACATGTTTTTCAGGCTTTAATAATTGTAAATGGATATATTCGCATAATGATTTGTAAGCGCAACATGGAAAGAAAGACAATTTTTACTTTCATATTTTTTACTAACTAATAAATATTTACTAAAAATGTAAAATGCGGACATAAGCATAGAAAATTAATGCAACTTATAGCACTTAATAGAATTTTAAACTGACAGAATTCATTTGTAAATTATTCTTTTATAAAATTTCACTAGTAATTTTTCATAAAAACATAAATTTATTAGTTAATAAAACATATGAAAGTAAAAATTCTTTCCATCTTGCGCTCACAAATCATTATGCGAATATCCATTTACATTTATTAAAGCCTGAAAAATGCACGTCTGCGATGTTGCATGCGATGATTTGTAGGTACTTTATTTTTTACCACGATGTTTTTAAATTGCGGAGTTTTTGAACTGCTTTATTTTCGACGACGATATTTTGTACCACAATGTTTTAGAACTGTGATGTTCTTTCTGTCTTTGCTTTATTTTCTCCCACGATGTTTTGCACTACGACGTTTTCGCCTTGCGTTGTTTTCTCAGAGACGTTTTCGTCCGCGATGTTTAGACTGTAACCATTTCGATAAAATATTCCTTTTAAAAACTTTCAGCGATATTTTAAACATTTTTTATGGCCGAAGTTCCCTCACGAAAAAAAATTAAATCACCAAAGCACAAATTCTTTGTTTATTGAAAATGAATTTATTTGTAAATAAAAGGAAATGAAATACAGATTGCACTCTACGTCGATGAAAGTCATAACAGCTTCTGAAAAATTCTGCAAGCACTTTCTTGCACCTGCATGTTTTAATCGAATCTTTTCTGATAATGTTTGATCATAGTAGTATTTTGAAATAAGATTTCAGGTAACGCGAGGACTCAATTTCCTGTGTCTAATATCAACCTTTTTAGAACTATATATGGAGCATTCAGAATAACTTCAGTATAAATCACACTACGAAATGCAGAGATAGCTAATTGTAATACAAACTTCAGTTTTAGCTTGTTTAGATGATGAAAAAGAAGCTGTCAACTATGCATTTTTCAATAAAAGTCAAAATTACATCTTAGGTTGTTACCAATTTGCGAGCGTTATGCATTTGAAAAGAACACGATCCGGTTCTGCATATCTAATGAATTTATTACTTGAAGGTAAGCTCAAGTCAAATTTCAAATTCTCTTGATATGCATAAGGATGTATTTTGAAAGTAAACAAATAATCGGAAACGTTTCAGATTTTAACGGTCGCCCATAAGGGTTTGTTAAGGTTTTTCACGCTGTCTTTGAGCATGCAGTCTGCCAGTTTGATGTCACACCCACAGCTAACCCACTTTTTTGTCTTTTTAGCTTTATTATTAAAAATCATTTTATACGCCATATACAATTCAACAGCGAAATTACAAACAATTTTAAAAGCAGCATAGCTGTATACATTTGGAATTCCCGATGCAGGGTTAAGTGTTGGCATTCCTTTTATTTTTTCAGTCTTTTCTCAGTTCATCATAGGAATATTCAGTTTTTTTACTAAAATGGCTTTACAAAACATTTTTTTTTCCTTTTTACTATTAAAGTTTTGTGTGTTTACCGTACCTAGCACATATCACGTTCTTGGCACTTACACCACATAAACAACAACAACAACAACAACAAAAAAAAATCAATAACAAAATAATGAAAAAAAAGGTTAATAAATAAAAATAAAAAAAAATACCTTTAGAACTTCCGATAGACATTTTCGGGCGTTGGAGATAAAAATGTTTTATTCCGTACAGTGTGTTGCCACTGCTCGCTTACAAAGAGTTGAGATTCTTAGTCAAAAATTCGTTAAAGTTTAAAAAATATGAAAAAGGCAACAAAACAAATTCGAAATTCAAAGTTCGGACTTCCGGGTGAGAATGTTCGAGTTGAGGCCTACGTTATTCAAAATTTGATGGCTCTAGGAACCATCGTTTTCTCACATTACGAGAAACATACATACATTAATACAGATTCTTCATAAATTAATTTCTTCAAATATAATATAAGACGATAATATTTGGTGGCACCACTTTGGAGACTAATACCCCATTCGGGACTAACGTCCCTTTTGGGCTAACAACGAATATGATATTGATTTTTGTATAATTTTAAAACTTGAAGTTGATAACTCTGCAATTTTCACACTTTGCTTGTCAACTGTAAATTGCCGCAATTGCCTTTTTATTCCTTTGCGAGAAATAAATAGAAGGATTGCAGCCTTTATCCCTAACTGCAGTACCAACTCACAGATAAAAAAAGAGAAGATAACAGAAATATAGTTTCATTTTTATAGAAATATTCAAACTAGTTCTTCATGCAAAGCTAATACAAAATATTTTACCCGATTATTTTTTAAGATTTCGACATAATCGCCCCCGCAAGGAATGTCTAGATCGTTGATAGAAACCTGCACCGACTTTGAGGCCTGCGTATTTGATGCATTACTGGTGATGATCCAACTACATCTTAAGTTGTCCGGGAAGGGATTCGGGTAGTTTGGAGATGTGAAACTTTGTGCTGTTGATAGAGAATTCAGAGAGGAAGGCCCACATGGTGCTGAAACAATAAAAATATTCTTTTAATGAACCAGCTTTATACACTTTTATTAGTCTATACACATTTATTAGTAGTTTGAATGCATGATAATTATCTTTCATACCATCGCATATGTAGAATGATAATTAAGCATATACAACAAAACCAGTTCCAGTTTTGACGAATACTCACTCTACTCGTGGGCTGATTTCAGTTTTCGGAGGTAGGGTATTTCAACTAATCTTTTTGCCAACTATAGATAGTATTAATTATTTCAAGGATTTATTTATTATTATCTAACCAGTTATTTTATGTTCAATACACTTACTATCATTTTTGATTTCCGTTGTAACGAACTCCTGACTCTTTTATCTTGCGAGAACTGCAAAAAACGGAAAAAAAAAAAAAAAAAAAAAAAACTTTTGTTTCCTCTGTGTCCGAGGAAAGCAAAATCTGGAGGCGGAAGGGGTTTGTCTGTACATAAACTCTAGAGAGTATTCTATAAATCTAGATGCCAAGGAGTTTGATCCGAGGAACTGCGTCATGCGAGTAGAACAGCAGTGTTGTTGTTGTTGACTGATGCTTACTTGCCTGACCTATAATCAGCCTAAGTTCAAGAAATTCCTCGTTGCAAGGAGCGTAAGACTACGTCTGACGTTGGCAACAGCTTTGAGCACTTTACAGGTGACATTGCGATTTAGCTCACTTTCGCCTCCTACTTCGATTGAAAGCACCCCGGAGGTACGGGTCCGAGGATCTTACCACTCTTCTAACCCTACCGCCAAATTTACGAGAGGACTTTCGGCTAGCGGCATCTTTACAATGCCCCCATGCCTTATCCGGGATTTGAACACCCTGGCCCTTTGGCACGGCAGTCAGCAACGGTAACCACTATACCTGTTAGGCGTCAGAACAGCAGTGTGTTCGACGTTGGGTCACTGGGAGAGAGATTTGGAAGCTCCGCCAGTGAGCTAAATTGGGGAGATTTTTTATTGTCTGCCGGGTAACGCATGCCGGATACCATCACAGCCGGTTTTTTGTCGTCTCTCCGGTTCGGAAGTCTACTGATACTTCTAAATGTATGCAAATTAAGTTTTATATCTGCGTTTTCATGAATTGTGATAGTGATGTAACGAAAAGATTCATGCATCACTTATGCTATCTTACCTGTGTCAGGGATATTCATGACGTCAAACCGCTTTCCTGCCAGAATGCAAATTTTAGTTTTCGCTTATTCAATGTAAGTAGCCGATTGTATTTAAAGGAAGGTTTTCGATTGTTAAATCGCCCACCAGCGGCCGAGCGGTAAAGTCGCTGAACATTGGTAGTTCGATCCGAGGTTCGAATCCCGCGAACGGGCTGGCTGGATGGGCGTTTTCGTGGTTTTTCCCATGTGTAACGTGTATACGAGCCAGTTTCCCTTAGAAAGTCCTTCACGAAGGCATCCCTCCCCTTAGGCAGATAGCCCTCGAGGCTTTGCCATAATCACACACACACACACACACATACATGTCGATTGTTGAATCCAAGCGTGTTCTGACTGCTGAAAGCCACACTACTAGTTGATCACTTTGATAGCAGTCTGCCTCCCGCGTTGCCTTATTCTTGCCATGTCAAGATGACACAGGTTTAAGACAACTTGCGCGTTATTTATTCTGTTTAGCCTTTGGCTAACTTAGTCCCCCTCCCCGGAGGTCGACGTAGAGAACTCTGAGAAGCTACTGGCTAGGATCTGTACCTAAGCAGTCTCGGCCACGGGGGTATACATATTACGAACCTAGTAGTTCTGGAGGCACCGGAAAGGTCACTTATTGGCCAGCCTTTGAGCCTGGCACGACCTAGAGTAGATGGCTGTTGTAGCCTGCAGTAGTTTCTAGGTAATTTTCTTTTGCGTCGGGCAGCCCGAGCGACTGGCAGGTAACAAATCATAGACAACGATCGATGTCGCATAAACGATGAGTCTCTCTCTTTAAGGTGCCAGAACAGGGTTTGAACTCCTGTGCCTGTTTCTGTGGGGAGAAGGGACTCTTACAACCATGAGGCGGAAAGAAGAATGCTCATATTACTAGACTTACCATTTAGTTTAGTTTCAATTTGAATTCGTTACTTTTGAATTACGCCATAAATGTTGAATAGCCCACCGGGCGGCTCGTATTCAAATCTATTTACGTCTCGAAAACTGCAGTAAAAATTAACCATGTTTACAATTTTTTTTTCATTTAGAGTGAACCAAAATTGTCCTGAAAACGGCCTTTGTTAGATTTTCTTCCCCCCTCCTTGTAGGGCATGGAGGTCTTACTTCCTACCTCCATGTTGTAGGGCGATCAACAAGTCGTTTCACTTAAGTGATGGTTTCCTACTGTCCTTTGATTACCGCCTAGAGGCGATTAAGCAGATGGGCTGCTTTTGCCCTTACGGAGGAAGGAACACGTTTTGTGTCCATGCTTTGGTTAGACGAAAAAAGATATTTTTTTTCTGGAAATCCAAAACAGAAAAGGAAGTTTTGTATTGCCTTGTTACTAATTTTGTGCATATTTCTAATCTTAATTGCTTATCAGAGCCGTGCCAAGATATTTTTTCACCTGAGGCAGAAAGGTCAATGCGCGTCCATATAAATATAAAAATAGCTACACTTGTATTAAGCAAAAGTAATTGTATTAAGCAAAAGTAATTGTATTAAATCAAAATGTCATAACTCTTATAGCATAATTATACCATAATTCTTAAAGTATTTTTTAATCGTAGTTTTATAAATTCAGAGAAATGATGTAGCCAATTATTTATAATTTTCAAATGAAAACGTTAAAAAATTCGTTTTTGATAAATAAGAAATAACACTGAAATGCATATTGCATTAATTTTCAGGTTTTCTTGCAATTTTTTTGGTTTGTTTTATTGATTTAAGTTTGACGAAGCCTATTTCCCCTAATAATTAAAGTAATTTTCGAATTCCGTATAGCCAATTTGGGCGCCTCCTCTAATGATTCACATGAGCCCGGCTTTGTTGCTTTTTAAGTATAAATGTTATTGATTTTTATTGCGTTTCGGTATTTTAATGTACGTTTATAGAATGTTAATTTGTTTTTTTTATATGCATATTTCAGTAATATAATCTTACGACTAGTGAGACAGTGTAGTTTAACTAATTTTCTGCTTTTGATTCATGTTATCGAGCTTTAACGCTAAGAAAAAATTTATAAGAGGCTTAAAATACCTAATTCCTATTGAAAGCTACATGTAATTGATAATTAAATTACTATTAAAATAACAAACACATGCTCAGTGTCAGTCATTTCGACATAATGTTTGTAATTCATTTTACCACAAATTTTATTCGTTTATCTTGTTTCATATTTATAAAAGGGGAGTTTACCTTTATCGCATTTATTGGTTGATGAAAGTTATGAAATATTGAATATTTTGAAACAAATTTCAGTCATAATAACCTTATTAAAAATTTTCTACATATAGACAAGATGTCACAGATACCTCTCAGTTTCCGAACTAAATTACATGGTACTGAAATTCGGTGCATTTTCATATGATTATTTTTGACAGAAAGAGTTACCTTACGTAAATCACAAAAGAACATTGTTTTAATTCTTAATTAAATATAGCACTTGTATTAAATTGCTAAAATTCATTGTTAGGAAAATCTCGCTCTAAAAAATTAGACACTTTTACCTTTCAAAGTGGAATTTTTGTGGTTTTCTCTGTGCATAATGTGGGCGCGAGAGTAAGTTTTTCTTAGAATGTCCTCCACGGAGGCATTCCTCCCTTTAGGCAGATAGCTCTCGCGTGCTTTGAAGGAAAAATAAAGCAAACCAAAACAAAAGCTTCAAAATTGGTGTTTAACATTTTTTTGGGGGTTCAAATACGCAAATTACTTAGAGATCTCAATTCACATTATCAAATGTTATTATTTAAATAAATAAAAGCAAGCTGAGGATTTCCATTTAAATTGTTTGTTTTAAAATAAAAAATAAGAACAGTAAGTTTTGAATAAATCTTGTCAACATCAAGCAGGGACAGGAACATGCCAATGTAAAATTTAATATTAGGCCAAAAAGAAACGCTTTGACGTAGATTTTGGATAAAACTTAATCAAATTCGCAGGTAGTCAGAGACAGGCCTTTCTTCAGTAGAGAGAAAAAAATGTTTCTGAAGTATTTGTGTATTTATTACATAAATGTTTTAATGCTTCCATAGCACTGCTAATCGATAAAATTTATTTGATGAAAAGTAGGAAGTTTGCTTTTAAAATTCCGATTTTTCAACCTTTTTCAGTGACATATGTGGCATCGAAAAACACGTCTGGCCAGGAGGCAGATTAATGGCTGAAAAATTCTTAGAATTTAAAGAGGCATCGAACAAGAAAATTTAGGGATGGCGAAATTCTAAGAATTTGGCACTTGACAACGGCAAAAGTTTTAGAATGTAGAGAGCTACAGAATTTAGGCAGGGCAAAATATTTTAAATTTATAGAACATCGGTCAGTAGAATTAAGATCCCACAGCGATTGCACTGAGAAACAAATCGACCTGCTTCTCGATTATGCGGATGGACGCAGATTAACTTCCGAAAGCTCTGCAGCTATTTACGATTTCTGCTATAATAAACTGAAATTTAATATAATAATTTAACACTATATATCAGTTTACGAAAACATGATGATACTTTTGAGAAATTTTCTTTAATTCCCCAGTACACTAAAAAAAAAAAAAAAAAAAAAAAAAAAAAAAAAAAAGTACAATAGATTATATAATGATATTACTAACAAAATGATGCCGATGACGCATTTAATTTTTATCTTTTTATTAATCTAAATAAATATGTCATTGAGTTTTCCATAACTTATAGTTTTGCAAATTAAAAATGTTCAATAATATAATATGTGATTATGGTATTATTGGTATGGTACTATTCAAGGCAAAGCACACGAGGGTTATCTGCCTAAATGGAGAGGATGCCTTCGTGGAGGACTTTCTAAGGGAAACTGGCTCGTATACACGTTACACATGG